CCCCCGCGCCCGGTCCCCGCCTGCCCCTCCGTGCGCCCCACCAGCCCACATCCCCCGCCACTTGCCACAGGCGCCGCTGCCCACCGAACCCGAACCCGGAGAATCATACTAGGCGGGTCCAGGTGCCTGGCCAGCCCTGCTCCTGGCCCCCGGCCAGCTGGTTAACGCTTAACTCCGCCAGGGAGCCGGGCTCTGGCCGCCCCCCCTTCCCCCCTCCCCCAGCCCTTGGCCCAAACAGTGGAGCCAAGAATGGTTGGACACAGGGTGGGCTGGGGTCCTAGGCGGAGAGGAGGTCTTGGTTACTGCTTGCTTACCTGGGCACCCTAGGCGATGGGCCTGCACGGCTGGAGGAGGCCCTCAAGCGTCCTCGCCCTCCCTGCTGTGTTCCCTGGGTTCCTGCTCAGAGAGCGCAGTGTTCAGTGTCCCTGAGAAGAGAGATTAGCGCTGGGGGTGGGGTCGGGTGGGAGTGAGTGCCCGGCAGGCCTGGCCACATTCCAAGTTGTGGGAATGTGGAGGTAGGGCGTGCTGAGGCTCCTGGGGGAGGGGCCTTGTGTGTGCTGGAAGCGACCCATAGCTGACCTTCCAGCGGGCTCTTGAAGTAAATCGTACAGGAAGAGATTGCCCATCCTTCTCCCACGGAGCAGCTGCTGGATTCGAACCTTTGGAATTGCAGCGCAGGCCTTTTACTGCGTGGCTGTCAGGACAGCTGATCCCCAAAGCCCTAGGGCTGACCTGGAAGTCGTGTCATTGAGGGGTGCAGACTGGCCTGGTGTGGGGGAGGGGCGGGAGAATCTATCTGCCAGGGAGAGTTGGGCCCTGAGGGCCGCTGTGGCACCGAAGCTGGGATGCAGTTGGTGGAGGGCAGCCTTGGGAGGGGTCAGGTACTCAGGGAGTTTGGACTTTATCCTAGTGACTGCTGGTGCAAAAGAGGCTTTGATGCTGCCCATACCTGCTCAGGTGAGAGGGACCTGGACAGTGGGGCGGGGATAGCAGGAGAACCTCCCAGGACGCACCTGCAAGCTGAAGAAAGGGCAGTAAAGTGCCTGGACTCCGCTGGGCATGGCTAGGCAGAGAGGCCCAAACCAGGTGAGCAAATGTGGGCAGGCTTTTGGGGCACTCAAGTAGGGGCCCCACCAGGCAGTGGTCACTTTTGAGACTGTTGTGATACAGGCCACAAACAAGGGCTGAAAAATATGTGAGGTGCCCTGGGAAGGGGCCTTGTCTCTGAGGTCCCAACTGTCCTTAGCTAGTCTGGGCAAGGCTGTCCTCCTGGATTTCTTTCCTTTTATAGGATGTAACTCCCATGAGTTTCCACAAACAGATGCATCCCTGGACGCGCTCACCAAGTTGTGCCAATAAATCTGGAGGACAGCTACCTGGCCAACTGACTGCAAAAGAGCCATACTTTCTCCCATTTAGAAAAAATTATTCAAGTTTGGAAATTATCAAACAGTATCACTAATATTAAGAAAACAAAGATTTTCACCACTGGGCTGAAAGGCAACATCATGATAGATGTTTGAGACTGAGATTGTCAATAGCTTTAGTTTGCTTGGCTCCACAATAAACACTCTTGGAACCGTCAAAAGATGAACGTCATTGGGAAAGTCTGCTGTCAGGGACCTCTCCAAAGTACTGAAGAGCAACAATGTCAGTTTGTAGACCAAGATGTGTCTGATCCAGACCATGGTCTTCACAGTTACTTGTATGTGTCAGCTGGACAATGACTTAAGGATGATAGAAGGGGAATTGATGCCTTTGAGGTGCTGGAAAACATATACTGTGGACTGCTAGGAGAACAAACACCCATCCTAGAGAGGGTGAAACCAGGCTGCTCTTTGAAGGCAAGAATTCTGAGGCTTCATCTGACATAGATTGATTCCTTGACTGGGGTTATGAGGGTATGTGTGTCAGAGACAATAAGGTTGGCACAGGATAGAGCAGGCCATAGGACTATTGCACATAGGGTCCCTATGAGTTGAAAGCAACTTGACAGCACATGACAACAACAACAACATCACTAATATCACATGCAAGCAAAATCTTGCTGAAGATTATCCAAAATGACTGGAACAGTACACCGACAGAGAACTACCAGAAATACAGGCTGGGTTTAGAAGAGGATGTGGCACTAAAGTTATTGCCACCAATGTCAGATGGATTTTGGCTGAAAGCAAAGTACCTGAAGGGTGTCTGTCTGTGTTTCATTGACTATGCAAATGATGCATTTGTGTGGATCCCAACAAATTGTGGCTAACACTGAGAAGAATGAGAATTCCAGAACACTTGATTGTGCTCATGTGAAACCTATGCCTAGATCAGGAAGCAGTCCTCAGAACAGGGCAAAGGAACACTGCACGGTTCAAAATCAGGAAAGGAGTGCATCAGGGAAGCATCCTGTCTCCAAAGCTTTTCAATTTGTATG